GATGTTGCATTTGATGACCGGTCATGACCTCGGTACCACCCACAACGCAATGCAGTGCCACCTTAATCCAATGCCACATCAGCATGCTCTCATCATCAATCAAACATTCCGCCTGTCATCACGGCTAATATGCCGTTTGTAGCCTTCCGGTGCACCCCTCTCCACCCAGGGCGTGCACCAATAGTGGCATGACGTCACAAGTACCCACTGCGAAGAAGCATCATCAACGCACCAAGTCTGTATAACGCCAGCGTGCCAAAGGTAAGTGGCGATCAAACCATGCTCCGATACCAAATTGCAAGGAACATTAGTATGGACGAAGCACAGAAATCCAGAATGCAAAATCACACTGAAGTCCAAGTATTCAAAGCCAAAGCAGATAGCACATGGAACCGAGTAACCATCCCATTGAGAATGATACAGAAGAATCGTGAGTCAATGTCCATGCCCACCAGGGCAACACCAACAGCATAACCCAAATGTAGCTCTCTCTTGTGAATGGCGCCAAGCACCCTTTCTACTCTACAGCCTATCCTACAACTACAGCAATGAACAGCAACCAGACAACTTGACTACCAGCGAGTGATGATGTCAACACCAATGCAGACCTCAACCATCACCAGGTACGTGTCATCTTCCCCACACTCTCCCTTGTTACCCACACAGCGCCCTTCACCTCCGAAGTACCACCTTCGCCCTCACCTCCCCTGCACCCTCTTGCGGCCCGGCTATGGCCGCCAGTGCCCTGCAAGCAGGCAGCSCCCTACCGCCTAGCGYTGCCCTGCTTCTTCTTAGCGCAGCRCTGCTCTGCATTAGCGCAGCACCCTTGCATCTGCGCAGCGTGCCCGCATATGCCAGCATTGGCCAAGATCCCYGCTGCCTCGCCCTGCTTGCCTATATGCCAGTGCAGTGTGTGGGCGGCCTCCCTTCAGCCTGTGTCCGGGGCCCAGAGGCTGAAGCCAACTCGATACAGTTGGGCCCCGGGGTAAGGCAGTTGCGCCTCCTTCATCAAGGCCTGCAGCCAGCTTCAGATAGTGGGCCGATTTCCCTTTGGCATTTTCGGCCTCTCTTTCCAGCATGCATTGTCGGCCTCACATTCAGATGCCCAGGGCCTAACCAACTCAGAGGCCCTGGGCTTTCAGCATTTGCTGAAATCCGAGACTCTGTGCACTCCAACCAACTGGCGTGCTGCAACTGTATGAACCCCACTTCGTGAAATGTCGCACAGAGGGCTGTTTTCGATTTGCTGGCCCGCCTTCACTTAGGGCGGGCACTAGGCTTGCTGGGGCCTTAGCCCAGAACATGTACATCATGGCAAGGCCCCTACTTGAGGGCTCAATCCTCACAGAGAGAAGAATGTAGCTTACTTTATTCAAAAATATATATATACAGTTCTATTTGACGATATATATAGATATATATATATTTCCATTTCCGCAGGTTGATTCCAACCTCCCGAGGTTACCGCAAATTCCAACCCCCACCGTCATTCAGGCGGCTGACAAATGGGGTCACAAATAAGTAGTTTGGGGAAATGAGATCCTGGTGTGACTATTTTTTATTGACATTATTTTTTCGAGATTTTGGGGATAGTCCGGTTTTGGTACCGCAGTGTGAGCGTGCCCTGAGGTTTTTTGTTTTGCTTTGTTTTTTTTTTTTTCTGTTTTTTTTTTTTTGGTAGGATGCTCCGATGGTACACCCAGGGGTGTGGTCCCATTAGCAGTCGGATAGGAGTCTGGCCAATCCAGTGTGACACTGAGTGGCAGCCGGATGACAGGTTCATTACGAATTTCTGGGGTGAGAAAACAGGAGGAAGGGCCTCGCCACACCACTCTTGAAACCCGGTTTTCAAGAGTTGGAGTCGTCGCCACACAGCCACTTGAGAGTTGTGGCCCGAAAACTCTTTCGAGAGTTGTCAGAAACCCGTTTCGAGAGTAGCTCTCGAAACTCCTAAACGCCCAGCCTGCGGCACCGCGCTTGAAAAGCGCCCTCCCGAGGGCACTCAAAGGACTCACGATTTTCGAGAGCTGTCGGGCCGTTATCCTGACTCCATTCGGAAAAAAACAAAGTTGCACGACTGTCGTTTTCCATCGTTTGCTGTGTGGCGAGGGGCCCGGAACTCCTTTTTTTTTTTTTTTTTTGAGAAGTTGTCACATTTTATTCCAAGAGAGATGGTCGAGGCCGGGGACCTCACAATTCAACCCGGAGTATCAAACAGTAGCCTGCTGAAAAACGGGTCCAGCATCCCATGACCACTCTGCCTATCAACAAAATTAACTCCTCAAAAACTCTCACCCTGAAGCACAGTAAAAAGGGCTAAAAATTAGCCTGTCAACGACTTTCTGACACTTAAACAACAATTCCTGACGCACAGTGCCAGGCGGTTAACATTCCGAAATCTATTGTCACTCATGACTACAGCCAGAGGACTGTTTATTTGCTTGTGGGACCTATCAACGGTCCTACCTCTAGAATCATCACCCCTATATACCTGGGGATCCAACCCTTCTTCCTAATCAACTTAACCATTTTGCCACCTACAAGCCACCATCCGAACTCACTGTTGCTAAGAAACCTTTCAATGTCCATTTTTTACGAAACCACTTGAGGCCCCCTCCAGCCCTTTGTTTAGATCTTCTCCATTCAGCTAGAATGGTCAATCTGAGAGCATCCTTGATCATTCCTCTCTGCGGGTGGAAGGACCAGTTGTCTTGGTTAAACACCATCGCATTTCTGGCCCTCCATATTGTTTCCATCACTATTCCTCTGCAGACCAAAGCTGCATATACCCACTCATCGCACCATTTGGTTTTAGGAGGTAAGGAGGCCGAAAGTATCCAGTCATCCGTCCATTCCCACTCATTACCTCCCCCTTCCTCCCACTGCAGCTCCCACCATCTTCAAACTTTGTCTGCCAAAGGGCACAACAGCCAAACATGCTCCGTATTTTCCCATCCCCATTTACACCGCTGACAGGTCTGATCAAGCTTCATGCCTCTGTGTCTTAGCCATACCGCAGAGGGTACTATGTAAAGAGATTGAGCCCACATTAGACTCGCTTGTTTCTGAGAGCGAATCCTCTTAAGTAGTTTCCATTGAACACTAAACTCAGGTAGGGGCTTGACTAAGCCTTGTTTTTCATGGTATCTCTGTATTGCTACCTTGCTTGGTTGCCGCTTCGTGCGTCTGCACTGCGCTGCTCCAACTCTTGGTCGGTATTGGACCAGGGGAATTATCTTATCATTTCCGTCTTTCCATCCATATTGAACTGGTTCCACTCTGTATTCTTCAGCGAGGTTTTCCAGAAGGGTCGCCCGTCTCATTTTTCGTTCTTGCGGTTCCCAGACCCTGACTTCCAACAGTCCCAACGTTGAGTCCAGAGTGATTTCTTCCTCCCTCCTCAACTCTGTCCCTTCCTTAACTAACCTACCCATTCTCCACTGCTCTAGTCTCATACCCCGAGGCAAATCCGGACCTAGTACCTTTAAAATGCAGCGAGAGTTATCTGGGTGCATCACCCAGGTATCTTTACCGTGCTCTGTAGTATCCTTCAGGATCTCTTCCCACCGAGGGGGCAGTGCAGCCCGCAGTGCTTCATAGTGTTCCTCAACTCTATGCAGTCTGGGCAGCTTCTTTCTCAAATCTTCAATGGACAGCCATGTTTGTCCTTCTCCATCCCATATGTGTTTAACCAAGAACACTACCTTTTCTATCCATGCTCATGCGAAGTTTCCCGCCCTTTGGGCTGATTCAAAGACTTGATCAGACCCTTGTTTTATCAATACATTATCAAATAGACCCTGGTTTCCCACTTCTATCTTGGTCAGTGGATCCCTCAGCATCATGGGCCTGACTTTTCGCCACGCTGTCAAAATACCAGACCATATTCTAGAGTTCGTCCTTCTTTTAGAAAAATTGGTCAATAACAGACATGCCCACACATTCACTCCCTGTGCCAGAGCCCAATCCCTTCTCAATATATATTCAGCAAGGAGGATCCAAAGGGGCGGCTCTCTTTGGAAACAGGCTTTGATAACCCATTTGATTAGCAATCCAACATTCTGATCCCGTGGATCCAAAACCCCCAATCCTCCCTGGTCTCTTGGCTGGCACACCATCTCCCAGGCCACTTTATGAATAAACCCTTGTTCTTCCGAGGCTGAGGGTTTCCACAGGTACTGAGCCGATACCCTTTTGATCTGGGCATAGGCCTTGTCTCCCAGATAATGAATGGTGAGAGGAAACCATATAATAGAAAGAGCAGCTGAGGTGAGCACCAGAGCTCTTCCAAAAGTCGATAACTTATGGCTCCTTACCCAGCCCAGTATCCTTGCACATACTTTCTCCTTGATGATCTTGTCCTGGGCCACAGAGCAGTTTGTCAATGACGCTTGAATTCCCAGGAAGCGCTCCGAGCTCTCGGGCGGGACTTCTCTGAGTCCCCAATTCACACACAAATTGAATGGGGTGGGGAGTAGGTATACAGACTTATCCCAGTTTATAGATGCCTCAGATAGCTCACAGTACATATCTAACTACTCTAAGTTCAGTAAAGGAGGTAAGCGAGTTTTCACACGCAATTGTCAAGTCATCGGCTATCGCTCCTCCTTTCCAATGGATGGAGGGTGGGATTTCCAAGCCTCTTATATTAGAGTTGTGTCTAATATTATCTAAGAGAACCTCCAGTTGTAACACAAAAAGGAGGGGGGCTAGGGGGCAGTCCTGTCGAAGAGAGCGAGTTAGTTTAAAAGTATCCGACAGTCTGCCATTCACTAGGACTACTAGTAGCATCCGTATACATGGCTTTGACGCCCTGCAAAAAGTTGGGACCGAAACCCATATGATTCAATGTCGTGAAAACAAACGACCATCCCACTTTATCGTAGGCCTTCTCCATATCAAGGAGAAGGACGGCAATTTCTTTCTTTTCCGAAGCGATGATCTCTAGAGCTTGCAGGGTGGTCATAATGTTATCGAAAATTGTGCGTCCCTTAACGAAAGCTCCTTGTTCTTGTCCCACTAATTTGGGTAGAAATTCTGCCAGTTTAATGGCCTGGGCCTTAGCCAAGATTTTATAAGCTACATTTAACACAGAAATTGGTCGATAGTTCCTTACTTCAGATTTACTTCCCTTTTTGTACAGCAGTGAAATATACCCTTTTAGGAAGCCCGCCGGGAGAGACCCGTGTGTTCTTAAATTACTATACACCTTAGTCAGAAATGGGCCAAACACATCCCAGCATTCCACATAGAGTTCCACAGGAAGGCCATCGAGACCAGGACATTTCCCTCTCGCCATCTGTCCGGCTGCTTTACCCAGTTCTTCTACTGAGAACGATTCTTCTAGGGATTGCCTCATTTGTAGAGACAGCTTGATCCTCGACCTGTCCCAGAAAGAGTTGTTAATAGAGAGGTCAAAGTCACAAGAGTCAAAGAATCTCCCAGTGGAAGCAATATCACTGAAGTAGTCAAAGGCATACGAGCACATGGTTTCTGTGTCGGATGTCACGAGAGGATTTACTGCAAAAGGGTGGGCCAGCTCCCTAATAAGAGACTTTGACTGTCTGAGAATTAGTGAACGAAAGGAAATTTTAGTCATCCTGTCGTATCCAATAATTCCCCTCAATTTCAGCCAGTCCAACCACTCTGTCTGTTTTCTAACTTCTAATTTTTCTAATTCGATTATGGCCTTACTTCTTTTTTCTGACCAGTAGAAATTTGTGCAGGGGTCTCCTCCCATCCTTTCTTCTGCCTGAGTGATCTCCTTGTGAAGCTTTTTCTCTTCCCACTGGCGAGCTGCTACGTGCATTCTTTAAAAATTCATTAGAGCGGCTCTAATTATGTTAATGCCTACTTCTGCCCACTCACGCTGATCATCGAACAAATCTGTTGCTCTTTCCCAGCACAGCATCCGTTTCCTAATCCATTCCTTAATCCCCTCGTCTTTTAGCAGATTTACGTTAAGTCTAAACGGGGGTCTTACCTTTTGAACCACATCCACTGCTATAACGTCCATAAGTACCGGATAATGGTCAAACAAAGATGCGAACTAAACCTCTGACCAGCAGCACCTGTCCCAGGGGGCCCCTCGAGCCAAAATAAAATCTAACCGGCTTCTGGGGGGTTGGACTCTTTTGGATGGTCGCGGACCAAACCAAGAAAAACCATTGTTATCCGGATTAAGAATTCGGTAGACATCGTTCAATACTTGTGAGTCAATAAGCTCGGTAAGCATATCTGAATCCGCTCTAGCTGGGTGTCTTGATAAGGAGTCCAGTCCGGGAATCAGAATAGTATTCAGATCCCCTAAAATGATCAAATATTCAGTATCAGGAATAAAACTGGGCAAATTAGCCAAAAAGTCCACCCTCTGATTCAAATCCACAGGAGCGTAGACCGACATAACGGTCCACTCCTCCTCCCCAAGCTGAAATTTCAACCACGCCAGTCTTCCTTTCGAGTCGGAGTAGGAGTCAAGTTCCATAATGTTACGGTTCTTATCTATAAGTATGGTCACCCCACCAGAGGTCCCCACTGATGGGGACCATATCTGGGGACCGTCCCATAGGGCGGCAGTTTCCCTGATTTTTTCAGAATTTAACTTTGTTTCTTGCAACCCAATTATCTGAACGTTCTTCCTGTGTATCCAGGCTCTAAGCCTGGCCCTTTTATGTCTGCGTGTAGTCTCCCCTAAGCCACGTGTGTTCCAAGAGGCGATACGTAGCTTAGGTGGAAGAACCATCAGGTCTGCCTCCACCGCTTTGTTGGATACGGTCTATCTCAGAATGGGAAGCCCCTAAAACTCGGCCTTTGCTGCGTGCTGCCGTCAGCATAGCCTTGATATTCTCGTTTGTCAGTATGTCCTGCAGTCCCCCTTTCTAGACCCAATCCGAAACCAGGGAACGCTGTCTTCCGGCTGGGTGCAGAAAAGCGCTGGCTGTCTCTGTAGGATTCATCACCAATTCCTGCAGACGGAACCAGTGGACACGTAGATCGCACCATCTGTCAAACGATCCGTTATGGTTTTGAGCCCTAATAGAACGAAGTAGAATACCACCGGGGGGCCCTTTTCTACTTGGGACAGATAACGATTAGGCTTTGGGATCGGCAAGGGGGCTACCGAACCTGTGTGATGCAATATGTGCCATTTTGTTAACTCTGCCACCTCTTCTTCAGAGGGTGTGTCGTTAACTGGAATCGCTGGTAGCTCTACAACCTCACTGTCTGTGAGACGAGTCAGCACCACAATTCCATTTGGGGAGGCATCAGAGCAGATCAATGGAATAAGATACTTTTTAACAATTCCTTTTAATCTGTCTTGTTTGGATAGTGTTATCATTGGTCCCGCAAGAGAAAGTTCCTTGCGGGCAGTTCGATGAGGGTGACTTCGTTTTTGACCCACTCAATAGCCACCTTGACCTTGATCCGGCCAAAAATCCAATGAATTCTCTGCGAAAGTACCCCTCCCCGTGTTATCATTTCTCTTAGCTTTCTTGGAAGAAGACCTTCCAGCAGGCCCGTTTTCTTTCAAGACTGTGTCTCTCAACTTCCCTGATGTTGCTACCTGTTCACTTTTAGTGAGAGGCACCTCCTCTGTGTTCAGACCATTTTCCTCTGTAACCCTTACAGGAAGGTCATCGGAGGATTCACCTTGTCCTAACTGCTCAGCCCTCTCCGAATCTGCCTGCTCCACCTCATTGTACATATCATTATAATACACTTTGGCCTTCCCGGAGAGGGCTCCAAAAGCCAGCGTTCGGGGAGATAAGCTCTGACCCGACCGATCGTGCGGGCCGGCCCCGGGGTCTGCTTCCCTATCCTGCAGGGTCATCCCAACTACGCCCAGCAGGTCGTCCCCTTCCTCCGAGTCCTCTTCTTCCCCCCCTGTGCCTTCCTCCTCCTCCTTATCCTCCCACTCCTCTTCTCTATCCCCAATTAAAAAACTCCTTATCCCCTTCTTCCCTCTCCCTTGTGGTTTCCTCTACCACCCTCCCTTTCTCTGGACCTCTCTTCCTTATCCTCTGTCATTTCCTCAGAGTTTCTATCCCCCTCTGCCTTTCCTGCAACCTCATCAACCCTTTCCCATCCTGGCGCTTCTGGGGGCTTCTCATCCTCCTTCGCCCTATGATTATTGTTTCCTTCTTCCTCACTGGAGCATTCCTCCTCGTCATACTCCCCAACTTTCTCTCCCTGTTTATCCTCTTCTTCCTCCTCCTCTTTTTCCTCCTCCTCCTCTTCGTCTTCCAACTCCTCTTTGTCTTCGTTATTGTCTTCCACGTCCATGTCCTCCTTGTCATCCTCTTCATCTGTTTCCTCCTCCGTGTCCTCGTTGACCTTCTCCTCCAAGTCTACATACCGAATCTCCTCTCTATCCTCATCATCCTCTTGTCTGATTCCCTTTTCCGCCTTCTCTCTCTTTTCTATCTCCATCTCATTTGTCCCTTCCTCACTTGGTGCAGGTCCTTTAAGGATCTCTTTGTAGGTCGGCTTCGTACGGTCTATCCAGATTACTAACTCCCGACCAGTGATTCTTCCCTTGCCTTGGGTCGACGCATGAGGCTGGTTTGGCGCAGGAGCCTGATTACCATCACTCCCCTTCCTAGATTTTCCTTTCTCTTTACCTCCAGCCTCCTTTTCTTTTTCTTTTCCCTTCTCTACAGGACCTTTCCCGCGATTGTTTTTGTTTGGCTTCCCCGGACCTTTCTGACTCTTCTTGGCCGGACATTCTGAATCACCCTCATAATGGTAGAAGCGACGGCAGTCAGCGCACTATGGAGTATCGGCGCTGACCACTTCATTTTCTACCAAGCCCTGTTCGGCCAAGTCCACCAGAAGCCAAGGTTTGAATCGAAACCTTGCAGAGGAAACCAAATCAAAGCGAACATTCTTCAGTTCCGAAACACCAGGTTCATCAAAAATCGGGGAAGTTTTCAGAATCTGACCAAAGGCTTCTTCCACCGCCGTTTTAAGTTGGGGAAGAGCTGCCACAGGAACCAGGAAGCAGCTGATCCAAAAAAAATTAAATCGCATGGCTTCCCTTTATTCCTGAAGCTGGTTTTCATTCATCCAAGGTTGAAATGTCAATGAATAACGTTTCCCATTGAGGGTGATGAGCTCTTGCTTCTTTCGCAGCATGAAAGAGGCCACCTGGCTCGAAGCTGAGACATAGGTGACCAAATTCCTACAATCATTATGAAACAACCCTCGTTTCGGAGGTACGTTGACTTGTGGGTTGGCCGCCCATCCATCCTCATATATATGTACTAAGCGTTTTTTGACCTCAACTGGCACGGATGTTGACTCATCACCAAATAGAATCGTGACCGCATGCTCTTTGAGTCAATCAACTTGCACACGGAGAACTTCCGGATTTATGATTACCCTAATGAAATGGTCACCCACTTCCACCATATTTTTGGCCAAGTGGCTCGACAAAATACCATCAGAGTAACATTGGCTCATAATATCCCGTATTCTTTGTCTTTCCACGTCAGACATAGAGGACGTCGAGCCCGGAGTTGGTGACGGAGGGGGAGGGGGAGGGGGGGGGGAAGATGAGGAGGCCCCGTTGGCTCCAGTCATTTTCGGCTCCCCTTGGTTTCCACCCTCTCCCTTCCCTCTGCCACTCCTTTTGTTCGACTCCCCAAGTAGGACTTACAAGACAGTTAGTAAATAAACACGCAAAGCGAGAGTTCCTAAATTAAATAAAATATCCTAATATATACCGAGGCATAAATAAACTGGGATAACATTCATTATACTCCACCCCTTACTCTCGGGCATATGACATAATACCTTCCTCCAAATATGTAGTCGCCACGAGAGTGAGTAGTCGAAATGCCTGTTGGCGCCATCAAGATTCCACATCTCCTCTCATGCCCCCACAGTTGATCCCACCTTTCTCCATCCCGTCTTGGAAGCATGCAGCAGCGAAGCACCGGATCCCCAAGGCCCAGGGCCGCGGCTACAGACTACCTATAGTCTTCGTCTATAGACCGCTGCACCCTACGTTGACCGGACAGACTTCCTGCCCCCTCGGGCCGGAACTCTTGAAAACCGGAACTCTTGAAAACCCAACTCTTGAGAACGCCTGACAGCTCTTGAAAAAGTTCCCCGTTTCAAGAGTGGTGTGGCGAGGCCCGAAGGCAAAAAAAAAAAACAGAAACAGAGACCTTCCACCTGAAATCACGGCAGAGTGCTTCCCAGCCATCAGATCACAAATGATCTGATGGTGGTGGTTGCAACAACAGTGCAGAAAGGAACTGCCACATTTCTTGGAATAAACTCGACTTCTGTCAGCAGTGATCCTGACACCCTCCACATACTCCGTGATTGAAGGAGGGCTCCACCCAATGAGATAATTGCACAAC